GGCCTCGCGGCCCCGATGGCTCGAACATCCACTCCTCGAGGTCTTGCTTGGAACTCCCCTTCTCCGAGGTAGCCCCCGGCTCTGGGAACAATCCCTTGTCAAACAGACTTTCACGTAATCCGCTCCCTCGACGGGAGTACACCTCTCGGGTGCCCTGAGTGTTGTACATAGTCCAGTCATCCTGCTGTTGAGTCTTCCGCGGACCCCAGTGCGAAGGGGTCGGAGGCGGCCAAGACAGATGTGCAGGCCGGCGGGGAATCGTTCCCCCCACGGCACCCTCCAGCGAGGCTGCAGTCACCAAAGGAGCGGAGGTGTGTGGGACCGATCCTGAATCCCCCTCCGTTTTCGGTAGGTCTCCCTCAGCTCCGCTCATGATCTTGCCAGATTCGGAACGATAGGAGAAAGGGAGTTCTAACAATATGTTGGATCCCCAAGCATCGAGAATAAATCCACGTTTTCAAGAAAAGCAAAATTTATTTCAAAGCGTTGAAGACATACTCAAACACGTTCTTTGTTAGAACTGGGGATACACAGGTAGGGCGAGCATAATAAAGGAAATTCAAACAGATACATATCCAATGAATAATATTCCCGCTGGCGGGCTAATGAAACGGTTGCGCGCCCAGTCCATGGGAACCAGGCAGAACATCAGACAAAACACAGGTGCAGTTCTCATGAGATAGCAATAGGCAAGCATTACAGCATCTTCTCCCCCACACATCCACCAGTAGTTATCTTATGCATTCCAGCACAGAAGCAGGATAGCAACAGGGTAAGGATATGTACACAGAGGTCACAGAAAACAGAATGGCAGCTTGCTGACAGTTTGTAAGCCACTGTGAGACTCCAAGTAGAGGGTGGGGTATAAATCTAATCTTCTTCATCAAAGGAGTGCATATTTATACAGAAATATCAGTTCTTATCTCTAAATCTTGTCTATCATAATCATGTGATATTATATAGATTATTGATCGGTTCTTAACGAAATAAGAGATAAGTAACATAAGTGCTGATTAGCTTACTTAATCATGTGATATTATCTAGATCAACTGATTGGTTCATATTATCTATTATTTCTTATCTAACTTAAATGAGTGCTCATTTCTTCAGATACAGCTGAATCTGAAGAGGTGCTGTATCTGAAAACGTGAGCACTGACTCACAAAAGCTCCTCCACTGCCACAAATTGTCTTGGTCTTGAAGGTGCTTCTGGACTCTTGCTTTTTTCAACTGCTACAGACAGACTAACACAGCTACCCATTTTAATCTACAACTGTTGGAGGGTGGGGAGACAAGTCATCCTTGGTGTGAGAAAAGTACTTCACCCAGAGAGTAATGAACATGTGGAATTCACTGCTGAAGGAAGTGGTGGCAGCTACAAGCATAGGCAGCTTCAAGAGGGGTTTGGACAAACATCTGGAGCAGAGGTCCATGAGTGGCTATCAGCCACAAGGTATAGATGGAAGACGCTGTCTGGGGCAATGATGCTTTGTATTCTTGGTGCTTAGAGGGCAAGAGTAGGAGGACTTCTGGAGTTCTGGCCCCGCTGTTGGACCTCCTGATGGCTCCTGGGTTTTGGCCACTGTGTGACACAGAGTGTTGAGCTGGAAGGGCCATTGGCCTAATCCAACATTGGCTTCTCTTATGTTCTTATGAGGACAGAGCCAACCACAAGATATTAGGAAGCCAGGTTATGTATAACTCTCATAGTCACTTTTCAACATTTGAGGCAAAAGCTCTGCTTAACAGGCTGGCTTTTAGTCTGCACAGTCGATCAGACGTTCTCCTGGGCACGAGCCCTACCTGACCCTGCCCTCCTCCTAAAAACACTTGGTGGGCGCTAGGAAAGGTGTTGGCAGATGCCGTGGTGCCCACGGGCACTATGCTGGAGACCCCTGAGCTAGGGAAAGGCTGGCAAATGGCGGTAAATTAAATAAACCCGCCAGGTGGGTGAAATAACCTCTCGGACCAGCGCAATTTTTGGCCAGTTGGCACTTCTACAAGCGGCACCGTCACCTCTGCTCCGCTTCAACCTCCTGGCAAATATTGACAAAGTTCACCTTGGCCTTGCAAGGGAGGTATCCTAGCAACATGGCAGGACTTGGCTGAAGGACATCTGGTGTGTGGAACATCCCTCCAATGGGCCATGGTGAAAATCTTCCACTCGACGTTAGTGGTACCCACAGGGCTCTTTTTGTAGAAAAAGCCCAGCAGGAACTCATTAGCATAATAGGCCACACCCAACAGCAGAAACCCATTAGCATATTAGGCCACACCCCACATGTTGCCAGAAGTGTGGTCATCCAGCCACACCCACCTTTTGCTTCTTATTCTGTTTACTTTGTTGTCAAAACCCAGGGCCTTTTTTTGTAGCAGGAACTCCTTTGTATGTTAGGCCACACACCCATAATGTAGCCAATCCTGATGAGTGTTTGCTGTTGGGTGTGGCCTATTATGCTAATGAGTTCCTGCTGGGCGTGGCCAACTTGGGAGCCAGCCGGAACTCCGTTCCTGTGCGTTCCTGCCCAAAAATAGCCCTGGCAGGATACCATGGTGCGTCCTCACCAGCTGTGCCTATTTATCAATGACAGTCTCTGTTTTTTGGATACCCGTCCCTGCCCATTCACAGTCTCTGTTTTGTGCTTCCTTTTGACTTTGGGAGAGGTGATGATTTGGGGATGTGAGTTAGAGCTGTCGTACTGTCGGGTTAGAGTTGCCCAACTCCAAGTCGGGCCTGAAGTTCTCTAGGAACCTACAGAGATCTGTTCTCCTTGAGGAAATGGCTGCTTGGGAGGGTGGACGCTTTGGCACCGCATCCCCTCTAAGTTTCCTCTGCTTCCCAAACGCCTCCCTCCACAAGCCCCCATATCTCCAGGCAGGGGTCATTTCGCAGAAAAAGAGGTGCAGGAGCTTATTAGCCGAACTCATTGGCATAGCCTATTTGCATAGGCCACACCCCCTGACATCACCGGAAGTGTGTCAGAAGGCAACACCCACCGCTCAGGCTCCACTGGACTGTTTTGGATTGCTAGCTATTGGGGGGGAGGGACGTGCAGATCTGCCCTCGCAGAGGAGGGAGAGCTTGTACCTGAATAAAATCTGGTCTTAAAGGTGCCACTGGACTGTTTTGGATTGCTAGCTATTGGGTGGGGGGGAACATGCAGATCTGCCCTCACAGAGGAGGGAGAGCTTGTGCCTTAATAAAACTTTGTCCTAAAGGTGCCACTGGACTGTTTTGGATTGCTAGCTATTGGGTGGGGGGGAACGTGCAGATCTGCCCTCGCAGAGGAGGGAGAGCTTGTGCCTTAATAAAACTTTGTCCTAAAGGTGCCACTGGACTGTTTCGGACCGGGGGGGGGGCTCTGCAGCTTACCTGGCTATTTCTTGCTCTGACTGAGGGCTGCTGGGAGCAGGGGGTGGGGCTTGTTGCATGTGTCTGCCCCCTGGGCTCTTTACTGCCGGAGCTCCGCTCCTGTGCGCTCCTGCAGGAAATGACCCCTGTCTCCAGGAATTTCCTGAGCTGGTATTGGCAATCATATTTGGGGCTGAGGTTAATCAATGGCGATTAGCCACGATGACAAAATGGAACCTCCATATTGAGGCCGTAACTCTTTGAAAACCAATGCTTAGGGGATAACCAGTACTTATGGGCTTTAGCAGGCCTGTAGTCACAGGGAGGCTTCTGGGGCCTCTGCCCCCCTTTCTTAAAGGCACAGCCGCACAAGAATTTCTCCTGTAAATGCCTTTTTCAATCATTTTAAAACATTTTTTAAAAGGTGTGAGCTCCTTTAAGAAGACTGGTGTGCTGTAAGCTGACTAATTCCCACCCTGAGAAAGGGGGTTGGAGTAGGTGACCTCTAGGATACCTTAAGAACATAAGAGAAGCCAATGCTGGATCAGGCCAAAGGCCCATCCAGTCCAACACTCTGTCACACAGTGGCCAAAAATACCAGGTGCCATCAGGAGGTCCAGCAGTGGGGCCAGGACACTAGGAGCCCTCCCACTGTGGGCCCCCCCAAGCACCTAGAATACAGAGCATCACTTGTCCCAGACCGAGAAATCCTATCTATACCTTGTGGGTAATAGCCACTGATGGACCTCTGCTCCATATGTTTATCTAATTCCCTCTTGAAGCCATCCATGCTTGTAGCCGCTGCCACCTCCTGTGGCAGTGAATTCCATGTGTTAATCACTTTTTGGGCGAAGAAGGACTTCCTTTTATCTGTTCTAACCCAACTGTTTAGCAATTTGAGTGCCCATGAGTTCTTGTACTGTGAGAAAGGGAGAAAAGTACTTCTCTCTCCGCCTGCTCCATCCCATGCATAATCTTGTAAACCTCAGTCATGTTACCCCTCAGCCATCGTTTCTCCAAGCTAAAGAGCCCGAAGCGCTTTAACCTTTCCTCATAGGGAAAGGGTTCCAACCCTTTTATCATTCTAGTTGCCCTTTTCTGCACTTACCCCACTCTTCACTACCTGAAGGAATCTCAGAGCAGCTTACAATCTCCTTTCGCTTCCCCTCCCCACAACAGACACCCTGTGAGGTAGGTGGGGCTGAGAGAGCTCTTTCGAAGACTGCTCATGAGAGAACAGTTCTGAGATAACTAGTGACTGACCCAAGGTCACCCAGCAGCTGCATGTTGAGGAGTGGGGAATCAAACCCGGCTCTCCCAGATTAGAGTGCACGCTCCTAACCACTACACCAAATTGGCTCTGAACTCTCGGAAGCTTATATCCCAAAAGTCTTTTTGGTCTCTAAGGTGTTACTCAACTCGCATCTAGTTGTTCTACCTTTTGGGTCTAAGGTACAACTCGATCATTATCTGGAAGAATATTACATACTGAACTTGGATGGCAGTTTCCACTTTTTTTTACTAGAGGAACACGACACCATTGGTGGAAATGATTTGTGGAGTCTGACCGAATGATTTGATGTGTGCGTTGTAACAATAACTCCCCCCCCAGTACTGACAGCGATTCTCTCCTCCTTCTCATTGGCAGATCTCCCGCCTGATGCAATTGTTAGGCCACCGGGTACAAACGTTACCCTGCCATGCCTAGAGGGGGAGCTAGAGAACACCACCACTGTGCACTGGAGGTTAAATGGACAGAATATAAGTACGCATCGTGGAAGGCTGCTGGTGGAAGGGTCCCGTCTTTTCCTGCTACCAGTCTATGACAACGATTCTGGCTTGTATACTTGCCATGCTGGTGGGCGTGTCCTCCGCTCTGTCCGCCTGCTGGTCGAAGGTGAGTGGGCAGGGGTGTGTGGCCAATTTTGTCCCGCCAAATCTCTGCCGAGCCATCTTCTCCCCCTCCCTTCCCCCTGTCGTCATGTCTTCAGTCGTGCCTCTTCTCCCCCATCCCTGAAAAAGTCTACCATTTGGAATGTGATATGCTCCAGAAAACGTGCACGATGTCTTTCCCACACGTGATGGTCTCTCCCATTTCCAGAGCCTCCCCAGGTGCCAAATTTCACCTGCTTCCGCAGGAGCGTCACCAAGGACATCCTGTGCGAGTGGAAACCATCCCGCCAGCTGTCTCCGCGCACCAAAGCCAGACTCTGGGTGGGAAAGGGGTAAGCGTATAATGCGGTATTACGGCTGGCTTGGAGTGAATAAAGGGGCCAGCCAGATTTGTGGCTAAAGATGCTAGGCCGGGGTGGTTTGCTGGGTGAGTGAGAGAGCCCTGAGATCTCTTTTCTTAACCCCTGGAGAGAGCCAGTTTTGTGTAGTGGTTGAGTGCACGGACTCTAATCTGGGAGAACTGGGTTTGATTCCCCACTCCTCCACTTGCAGCTGCTGGATGACCTTGGGCAAGCCATAGTTCTATCAGAGCTATTCTCTCAAGGACAGTTCTCTCAGAGCTCTCTCAGCCCCACCTACCTCACAGGGTGTCTGTTGTGGGGAGGGGAAGGGAAAGGAGATTGTAAACCACTGAGATGAACATGAAGTGGAGCAAACTTCAGAGGACAGCGGAAGACCGGAAGGCCTGGCGTGATCTGGTCCATGGGGTCGCGAAGAGTCGGACTCGACTGTGCGACTGAACAACAACTGAGACTCCTTTGGGTAAAGGGTGGGGTATAAATCCAATCTCCTCTTCCTCCTTCTCCTCCTCCTCGTCTTCTTCTAGGACTATTCGGGTAGTTTTCTCTCATGTCACTGCATAATCAGGAAATGGAAATCCGTTTCTGAATTCAGTCCAGGCTCGGACAGGTCTCCATTTCCTGATCTCTGCCCCTGGTAAACCAGTGTTCTTATTTTAACCTGTGTGTAACAGTCACATGCGAGTTGTGGGTTCACCTAATTATTTTTATAATAGTATCTCTTTAATTTCTAGACTGTCCTCCCCCCCCCCCCCCCGGAAGGGTTCAGGGTGGTATACAAAATAGTCCAAAAATATACAACACCAGTAAAAACGTCAGCAATTAATCAATCAGTCTACACAAATCCAATCAATCAGTAATCCCAATAAAGCAACTAACCGTCTGTCTTTGCTGATGTTCAGTATGGGGTCTCCTTGTTCCAAGGGGCGGGTCAGGGGCCAGATGTGAACGTTGCTGTCCTCAAACACAGATAGACCCAGTGGAACAGGGGGCAGCGTTTCCAGATCCAGGTTAGAAAACGCCTGGAGATTTGGGGGTGAAGCCTGAGACAGACAGGGACCTCAGTGGGGTACAATGCCATAGACTCCACCCCAGGCCCATAGCTACGGTAGGCCGTTTGGGGGCTCCACCCCCTTTCTTAAAGGCATAGCCCCACAAGAATTCCTCCTGTAAATGCTTTTTTCCTATCATTTTAAAATTTATAAAAGGCGTGCGCTCCTTTAGGCAGAGTGGGATGCTGTAGCTGACTAATTCCTGCACTGGAGGGAGGGAGAGAGAGAGAAAAGAGATTGGATTTATACCCTGCCCTTCACTACCCGAAGGAGTCTCAGAGCAGCTTACAAACTCCTTTCCCCTCCCCTCCCCACAACAGACACCCTGCGAGGTGGGTGGAGCCGAGAGAGCTCTCCCGAGAACTGTCCTTGAGAGAACAGCTCTGAGAGAACTTATGACTGACCCAAGGTCACACCAGCAGCTGCATGCGGAGGAGTGGGGAATCAAACCCGGTTCTCCCAAATTAGAGTCCGTGCTCTTAACCACTACACCAAACTGAGCAAGGGGGTTGGAGTAGGTGACCTCTAAGATCACTTCTAACTCTGCGTCAAGAAACTGGTCTCCTTTAAGTGAGTTTTTCTACCTAAGTGTGAGCTTTCTTGACTATAGAAGTCATCACCCCCACCTGCCGGCTTGTTATCTGAACTGTTGCTTAGGCTGGCAGAAGTGATTAACTTGCAGCAGCTGAGAACTGTCATCTAAGGTTTGACAGCTTGCAATTTAGAGCTCTATCCTGGCCACAGCTTTCTATTGGCTAAAGGGCTTTCCTTTCTGTGCTGAGGACTTCAGCCCCGCCAGGAAGAAAAAAATTGCCCCACAAGCCACAAAATCCTGGCTACGAGCCTGCTCCACACTCCAGAGCATCCATTTCCTCTAGGAGAACTGCCCTCTGTAGTCTGGGGATGAGCTGTAATTCCAGGCGATTCCCAGGTCCCACCTGAAGGCCCCGGGTGTGTGTGTGTGTGTGTGTAGATTTCCTGGTATTACAGCTCATCTCCAGACCATAGAGATCAGTTACCCTGGAGAAAATGGAAGCTTTGGAGGGTGGACTGTATGGTATTATAGCCACCAATGTCCCTCCCCTCCCCAACCGCCGCAAAACTCCACCCCCCATATGTCCAGCAGTTTCCCAACCCAGAGCTGGGAACCCTCCAACAGCCAATCAGGGCCATTTTTGGGCAGGAACACACAGGAACGGAGTTCTGGCTGGCTCCCGAGCTGGCCACGCCCAGCAGGAACTCATTAGCATAATAGGCCACACCCAACAGCAGAAACTCATTAGGATTGGTTGCATTAGGGGTGTGTGGCCTAACATGCAAAGGGAGTTCCTGCTACAAAAAAAGCCCAGGGTTTTGACAACAAACAAGGTAAACAGAATAAGGGTGTGGCTGGATGACCACACTTCTGGTAATATGGGGGTGCGGCCTAATGTGCTAATGAGCGGTGCTGTCAGGGGTGTGGCCTAATATGCTAATGAGTTCCTGCTGTTGGGTGTGGCCTATTATGCTAATGAGTTCCTGCTGGGCTTTTCCTACAAAAAGAGCCCTGGCCAAAATGATTCAGGTTCTGCAGAGCACGGAGACGGGGGGTGGGTGGGATATTGTTCCTATAAGGCAGACCGCTCCGACACGGGCTAAGTGGGTGTTTCCGTCTTCTCCTTCCGCTGCCAGGTTCATGGGAGAGAACCAGATGGAGCAGCAGTGCCGCTATTACAGCAGATCCCAGAAAGTTGCTTGTCGCGTCGCAGTGACTCACCACGATGAAGACGTCTACCTACGGATGACCATGTGTGTCGCCAACACAGCAGGCACCGCTACGAGTGACCAAAAATATTGCCGGATCGGCGATTTGGGTGCGTGCCTCTATTAATCAGGATCAAAGAGCAATCGCAATATGTGTGTGTGTGTGTGTGTGTGTGTGTGTGTGGGCAGACAGTTGCCTCCTTCCCTGGGATCACCCTCTGCATATTCTCATGTGTCATGTTCTCACCCACGATCAGTGTTCCCTCTAAGCTGAGTTAGTTGTGAGCTAGCTCACAGTTTTTGAGCCTCTGGCGCACACGTTTTTGTCTCCGCTCGGGAAGAACGGCTCCAGAGCAAACTGATTTATGCAGCAGCCAAATCGCTCGCTTACAACTTTAATGCCAGTAGCTCACCAAACAGAATTTTTGCTCACAAGACTCCACAGCTTAGAGGGAGCATTCCCCACGGTCTGATTGCAACCAGGAAGCTCCCAGAATGCAACTGAGAAGACTGCAGCCAGGAAGCATGCAGCCAAAGAAATGGCTGATTGGCTTAACCTGAGGCATAAAATATAGAAGAGTAGGTTTCTATACCCCGTTTTTCCCGTCTTACAATCTTCTTCCCTTCCTCTCCCTGCAACAGGCTCCTTGCAGGGTAGGCAAGGCTGGGAGAGCTCCGAGAGAAACCGTGGCCGAAGGTCACACAGCAGGCTCCATGGGGAGGAGTGGAGAATCACACCCAGTTCTCCAGAACACAGTTTGAGTCCAGTGGCACCTTTAAGACCAACAAAATTTAATTCTGGGTATGAGCTGCGGTGGCTCAAATGGTTAAGACGCTGAACTGCAGGCTGTGGAAGGTCAGTAGTTCAGCGGTTCGAGACCCGGGTTGCCGCATGACAGAGTGAGCTCCCGTCTCTAGTTCCAGCTCCTGCCAACCTAGCAGTTCGAAAGCAAGAAATTGCAAGTAGATAAATAGGGACCACTTCGGTGGGAAGGGAACAGCGTTCCATGCGCCTTGGTGTTTAGTCATGCCGGCCACATGACCACGGAAACGTCTTCGGACAGCGCTGGCTCTTCGGCTTTGAAACGGAGATGAGCACCGCAACCCTAGAGTCGGACTCGACTGGCTTTCAAGCAAGGGAACCTTTACCTTTACCTTTATGAGCTTATACCCAGAATTAAACTCTGTTGGTCTTAGGGTGGCTGTCCCCCCAGTGGGGAGGCAGACAGGGGGAACCCCACCCCAAAGAGCCCCACCGTGCCAGACGTGCCTGGTGCAATCATGTCACCCAGAGGTGGCGTCATTGCGTCGGGCATGACGCGCAGGGGATGATCTAGCATTTGGCTAAGAACTCTATGGTGATCATAGAGTTTTTGGACAAATGCTAGAGCTCACCTGCCGAAGATCCAGGAGCCCAGGCTGGAGCCCCCTGCCAGCAGCCAGGTAACCACTTAACCACTACCCCACACTGGCTCCCTGGAACCACCTCCACCCCACTGCCTTCTCTGGTGCGTTGAGACACACGGCCCTGTAGAGGTGGCAAAAGCAACACAAGGCGGAATTTCCTCTTCTGTGCAATTCTTAAAAGGAACACGAGCGATCTCGGGGTCAATCTCCAGCCTCCCAGCCTTTTCCTCTCTTGCAACATTCCTGCAATCTTCTCTGCTGCTTCCTCTGCACGTTTGCCCCAACAGGCAATTTCTGCTTCCTGCTTCCAAAGGCCAAAGCGTCCTTCCTTTGGTTTCTGGCAGGCAGAGTGGGGAACAAGCTCTTTGGAGCAGCTCGTTCTCTGGCTAAAAGCTGAGGCAGGTCTAGTGGTTGGGGTTTTTTTTGTCCATGGGGGTTTTTCTGGGAGGAGAGTGCAGTGACCCAGTAGCTTTTAGACCTCTAGCGCAGACATGTCAAACATACGGCCCGGGGGCCAGAACTGGCCCATCCACGACTCTTATCCGACCCGTGAGCCATTGAGGGGGGAACGAGTCCAAATGTGGACCAGAAGGGCCTATATTAGGGTGTTTTACCCCCTGTGGAGGTCCCTCCATTCCCTAAGATCTCCAGCAACAGCGCAACCCAGAGTTGGCAACCATAAAGGGGGAGGAGGGCTGGTTTGGCCCCGAGCTCTGCTGAGGAGGGGTACGGGTCACGGTCAGTGGTAAAATATCACTTATACCTGGCATTACATTTTACTGTAAACATGGCCCGGACCAACAAGGTAACAGTGGGACTAACTTTGGAGTGGGGGACCCACACTCAGGTCTATAGTTTGTGTTGCCAATCTCCAGGTGGGGCCTGGAGATCTTCAGGATTTATGACTGATCAGGGGTCATTTCGTAGAGAAAGAGGTGCAGGAGCTTATTAGCATAACTTATTTGCATATGCTACACCCCCTGACATCACCGGAAGTGTGTCAGAAGGCAACACCCACCGCTCAGGCTCCGCTGGACTGTTTTGGATTGCTAGCTATTGGGGGGGGACACACGTGCAGATCTGTCCTCACAGAGGAGGGAGAGCTTGTACCTGAATAAAACTGGGTCTTAAAGGTGCCACTGGACTGTTTTGGATTGCTAGCTATGGGAGGGGGGAACACGCAGATCTGCCCTCACAGAGGAGGGAGAGCTTGTACCTGAAGGCGGGCCGGCGGTAGGGGCTCTGCAACTTACCTAGCTGCTTCTTGCTCCTCATGGCCGACTGAGGGCTGCTGGGAGCAGGGGGCGGGGTTTGTCGCATGTTCCCGCCCCCCGAGCTCCTTACTGCCGGAGCTTTGATCCTGTGCGCTCCCACAGGAAATGACCCCTGTGAGTGATCTTCCAGACTAAAGAGGCCAGTTTGACTGGAGGAAATGGCTGCTTTGGAGGGTGAACTCTACAGCATTATCCCTTGTTGAGGCCCCTCCCCTCCCTAAATCCCGCCCTCCTCAGGCTCCACCCGCCCAAATCTCCACGCATTTTACAACCCAGAGTTGGCAACACTATCAACGGTATGAAATAACAGACAGAGATTGATCCAAGTTTTCTCAGGCACCATAGCCAGTAAATTTGAACTTGTGGGGGGGGGGGGTACCAAAAAGGTTGACAATGTTCCCTCTAAGCTGTGGAGTCTTGTGAGCAAAACTTCTACTTTGTGAGCTACTGGCATTAAAGTAATGAGCGAGCAATTTAGCTACTGCATCAATTAGGTTGCTCTGGAGCTGTCCATTCCTGAGCTAAGACAAAAGTTTGTGAGTCGGAGGCTAAAAAACTGTGAGCTAGCTCACACTAACTCAGCTTAGAGGGAACACTGGTTGCAAACCACTGTTCTCTCTTGCTCCGGATTGCAAGACTAGATCTAATGGGTGGAAATTACAAGGGAGTCGATACCGGCTAAATATCAGGAG